GCCAAAGAGCCCTCAAGTAACCAAAGATGGCCCAATAATTGAGCCAAATCCAGAATTTCCTGCATGTTACACCACCTAACCACCCAATACTCCTCCACCAACGACACAATCACCAGAAACCCTAACACCAGCATCATCTTCTTCATCCTCACCATCACAAACGTATAAGTCCACCATTGATTCTCCTTCTCTCTCACCACAATCTCAATCTCCCATTATTCAACCACCTGTTACCGTTCATCATTCTACTCGTCCACACAAACCCAATGTGCGTCTTGCAGATTATATCTGCTTTGTTGAGACTCAATCAAACCAATTATCATCAGTGTGTCTATATCATATTCAATCTGCCTTGTCCAATATATCTGAGTCTACGCTTCACTACATCATGAATCTGTCCTCTGAGATGGAGCCCCGTAGTTATCAAAAGGCAATCTTGCAATAGTGTTGGAAAGAGGCCATGAGGGATGACATTGAGGCTCTGAAACAGAATGACACATAAGTTATTGTTGAAACACCCAAGAATGTGAAGCCAATTGGGTGTAAATGGGTATACAAGATAAAAAGGAAATTGGATGGGAGCGTCGAAAGGTACAAAGCCAGGTTAGTTGCAAAGGGGTATTCCCAAATCGAAGGTATCGATTTCTCTGAAACCTTCTCCCCTGTTGTTAAAATGGCCACCATTCGGATCATCATGGCATTAACATCCATCAACAAATGAAAAATTCAGCAAATGAATGTTAGCAATGCGTTTTGATAAATCCACATTTTACCATAATTTTTAGTATGATTTTGTTAATAAATAAGTAGTAAAGTGCTAAGTAAACTTGAAAATATAATAAAAATTGCATTAATATTCATAATTGTATAAATAGTTTAGAATTTTAGATTTTAGTCCAATTCTGAACAATTTAACTCAAAAGTGACTTAATCCTTGTGCAGAAGCTTGAGCTGAGAATTTGAGTTGAAGATTGAAGTGAAGAAAGTAGAGGAATTGAGCTTAAAAGATGAAGAATCAAGTGTTATATGAAGAGCGTAATCACTCTGAGTACATAAAGTGAACACTTTAAAGAAAAAAATTCATGAAGATCATCAGAGTAGTTGCTTCAAGTGTTCAGAGTAGCTACGCAATTGAGCGCGTAGCCACTTCAAGTGCCTAGAGTAGCTACGCACAGCGCGTAACCACTTTAAGCGTTCAGAGTAGCTACGCCCAAGGCTAATTCAGAACTATACAATGCGCGTAGCTACTTCAAGTGATCATAGTAGCTACGCAGTTTGCGTAGCCACTTCAAGCGTCCAGAGTAGCTACGCAGTTAGCGCGTAGCCACTTCAAATGCCTAGAGTAGCTACGCAAAAATAACAGAATTTTAAATATCACTTCTAAGTGTCAACTTTGGACGATTTGAGTTCTTAAATCAATTTTAGAAGCTTCTAAAAGACTTTTGATGCTAGAATTCTCAAAGTATAACATGTAGAAAAGCAAAAGGTGAGAAAAATCATATAAATAGAAGTTAGAGGTTCAGAAAAAGGGACTTTTGGTTCATTTTTGTTATTTTTTACTTTATAACTGTTTTAACTTCCAAAGAAAGTCAGAAAGAGAGATTGGGGGCGACTTTCAAGCTTCATTTCTAGAGGAATCAGAGTGAAGATTAGGTCTTTGGAAGATGTTCTTCTGCTTCTTGTCTTCTTCTTCTCTTACTTATCCTTTCTCCATTGTAATGTTATTCTAAACCTTTTTGGTTAGGGATCTATGGATCCAGATTTGATGTTGTGATGTAATTGTGGATTGAATCTTGAGATTTTAATTGAATTGAGTATGTGATTCTGTTCTTAATGCAGTTGTGAACTAATCCTTCATTCAATTGAATTTAGAGGAATTTTTATCAATGAAAATTTAGTTTATTTCTCAAATCTGAATCATATATCTAGGTTATTAAGATCTTAAGAATAAGTATCATGATCTAATAATCCTATAATTTTCAGAACTTAATATAATATTTGATTAAATTTCACTTAAGGGATTTGGGAGGTTTAATTAGGTATTAGGATCAATGAGGCAAGGAATTGTCCTTTAGTTAAAGAAGTGAACTTGATTAGCAATCAATTAAAATTCTCAAGAGTTTAGAACATGATTATATTGCAATTGAAAATCTGATGAAGTGATTCCTAACTATTTTTCACATAATATTCTTAATACAAATTTCGTATTCTATTTTTACAACAATTCCATCACCTTTCAATTGTCTTTATTTCTTACTCTCACATGTTACAAACCTCTCAATGAAATATTTTGTTCAACTAATTGTTGAATTATGAAATGGTAATTGAAATAAAATCCTTGTGGACGATACTTGGGGCTCATATTTTATTACTTGCTACAACTACCTAGTACACTTGCTAGTTAGTTCTCAAATTCTGTTACACGTTTCTTCATGGAGATCTCGATAAGGAGGTCTTCATGCAAATACCTCCAGGTCTGCACGGTCATGGGTCATCTCAGTGTTGCAAACTGAAGAAGTCTTTATACGGGCTTAAGCAAGCCAGCCGCAAATGGTATGAGAAACTCTCTAAACTATTAATTTCTTCTGGTTTTAAACAAGCTCATGCAGACCATAGTTTGTTTGTGAAACATAATGGTGGTAAGTTTACAACATTATTAATCTATATGGATGACATAGTAATTACTGGAAACTCAAATTCTGAAATAGCCCAAATTAAATATATTCTTCATTCCAAATTTCGTGTGAGAGATTTAGGAAAGTTAAAATATTTTCTTGGTCTGGAAGTGAATCATTCTGATGAGGGAATTTATGTTTCACAACGAAAGTATTGTCTTGAATTACTTGTTGATTCTGGGATGCTAGGGTGTAAGCCAAGTACTACACCTATGGATAGCTCATTAAGACTTCGTCAAGAAGATTCTAGCGCATACTTGATGATTTGATGCAATATAGATGACTTGTTGGTCGTTTAATTTATCTCACCATAACAAGGCCGGATATAACATTTGCAACTGAACAACTTAGCCAATTCATGGCTTGTCCAACAAAGTCACATCTTGGTGCTGCTAGAAGAGTTTTAAGATATCTTAAGAGTTACCTGAACAAAGGTCTTTTATTCAAGAGAGATTCATTACCCCATCTCATTGGTTTTAGTGATGTCGATTAGGCAACTTGTGTTGACACTAGACGCTCGATTACAGGATATTGCTTCTTCCTTGGTATCATGGAAAGCCAAGAAACAAAGCATAGTGTCTCGGTCATCCTCGGAAGCAAAGTATAGAGCTCTAGCCACTAGCACTTGTGAGTTGCAATGGATGTCATATTTGCTCACTGATTTACAAGTTAATTGCTCCAAGTCTGCAGTATTATATTGTGACGATCAAAGTGCTTTCCATATCGCTGCAAACCCAGTTTTTCATGAACGCACAAAGCACTTGAAAATCAACTGTCACATTATCCGTGAGAAGCTTCAAGCCGGTTTGATGAAACTGCTTCCTGTCCCTTCTTGTCATCAACTTGCGAACATGTTCACTAAAGCTTTACCTCCTCAATCTTTTCGCTCTAATGTATCCAAACTGGAATTAGTAGAATTCTACCCACCTCTAGCTTGTGGGGGTTAACAGAAATAAGTCCAAAGCAATCTCACAAGGCCCATGATTCCTTGACCTAATCAGATGCTGATTTGTAAATAGATAGCTATTGAAATTCTATGGTAGTTTCTAGAAATAGTGAGCTATAATCATAGGTTGTAAATATCCTTTATTATAAGAAAATTGCTACTATTTTGATCATATCCTAATTGTGATCAATTGTATAAATATACTATATAATTGTTTTCATCTCTTATATATAGAGAGAGAATTATTCCCTATCAGTGTTATATTTTGTTCCTTCTCTGTCTTTTATCGTTTTTATTTATAGCAATATTTTATTTAAAAAGTACATTATATTTGTCTATATGTAATTTAATTAACATCTTTTAATAAAAATGATTATATTTAGGTGTTTAAAATCAATAATAAATATTGAATTTAACAAAATTGTTTAAAATATTATAATTATTTTGAATTAATGACAATGGATAAAATAGATAGAACGGTACTTGATTTCATTTGAATTTAATTAATTTTAAAAATGAGAAAATTTATTTTTTAAAATTATTCTTTTATTATTGAAAGATTCAAACAAATGGGATGGATTTACCGGAGGTAAAACTCTCTTCAGTTATTTTTCATACACATTTGAACTCCATATTTAAATGCGTTAAGTTCCTACGCAGGCACAATTTTTATATCACATTTCATTCTATTATTAAGACTAAATTATCAAACCTAACGTAATAATTTAGGACATTTAAGAATACAAAGAGAAAAACAAAAGAAAAGGATTTTGTACAAGGTTTAGTGTTAATATATCTTTTTAATAAGTATTCATTGAAAACAACATATGTAAAATAATCAAATTTATTTCACAAGTTAAAGATAATTATACGTCAATTTTAAGAAAAGCTAGATTAGTTTTTTATTTTATAACGTTCATGACTCATGAGTTGATTTTAATTTATAAAAAAAATTGATTTACTTGTATCCTATGATTCTCATTCTAGCACCACACCAGTACACTTGAATTCCAGCCATGCCATTTTTACTGTCGCCTCTCCCAACGCTCTTCTGCCACTGGGGTGCCACGTGGCAAAGCCAATTCCCATATGCACAACTTTCATCCGAAGTGGCCCCACAAGTAACTGCCACGTAAGCATCTCTGCCTCTTGCATTCTCTACCAAAGCACAATGAGCGCCACTCTTTCTTTCTACTCAATGCGGGACATGGCGTGACTCTAACAACAAAGCACAACCTTGCTCACTACCAGTTACCACTCGTTATATCAATTCCTATGGTTCCAATAAATAGTCTTAGAAACTTGCTACTTCATCAACATAAACTCAATCTTTGTCTTTTTAGCCTTCAGAATTTGCTTGTACCTTTACCTCACTTTCAATGGCCTTTTCTTCAGCCACTTCTCTGAGTTTCGAATCCTCTCGAATCTGCCTAACAATACCATCCAGGTTCAAAAACCCCGACTCTTAAATAGATGCATTATTTCTCTTATTATTTCATTATTTTATCTATCTCTACACTAACAAGTTTCATTTTTGGACTTTGGGTTAATGTGCTATTATGTAGCAGTTTTAGGTACAATGTGCACCGCAGTTTATTGATTAACATATCGCATTAGTTTATGAACTTATCAATATTGATTAATTTACTATTCAAATTTATAAAAATATTATTTTAATTTTGAAATTGTTAAACGATGGTTATTTTAGATTTTAAAGTTACGAAACAAAAATTAAAATGATTTATATTTAATGATTTCAAATGAATATAATAATTGTGTATTTGGTGAGGTTTTGTATACACTAGTTACTTTTTTAAGCATTGTAACTTCTATGTATTTGTACTAGATTACCCCTAATATTTTATACAATATATTGTATTAGATTATTAAAAAAAATTGATTTCAAAGACCAAATCGATACTTTTTGTAATTTTAAAAAATGTTAATTGATACGAAGCCCATAATATCAAGGATTAATGAGATATATTACCTTTCCTAATTAGATTGAGACAGTGACTCAGAGTTTAGACTGAAGAATAGGTCAACTGTTCCTGAAACGAATATTTTGGCATTTAGTAAAGGCGTGGAATGTCTCATTCAATGCTAAAATGATAAAATATGACAGTATACATTGTACACTAGAAAAAAGTCAAGTAATTCAGCTGGGATAATGATTGTCAATAAGTTAAAACCACTGAAATTCTTAATTATGATGTTGTGCAATGGTTTATTTGGAAACGGAAAAAATAGCGAAAGAAACTGAATAGCGAATGGTACAAATTTTTTTTCTTTTTGTTTAGTTAAAGAAAAGATTAAAATATATATATATATATATATAAACTTACTTTTTAAAAGTTAAATTTTAATAGTTTTATTGAGGTATTGGTAAGTTTTTAGTGTTATGTTTTTAAATGTAAAATTAAAAATAAAATATTTGATTAAAATAGAATGAAATTAATTTTTTTAAACTTTAAAAATTGTTTTAAATTTTGATGTTTAGTTATATAAAAATTTATTTAATCACCTTATATTTCTCGTAAGACTTATAAGTTATCTTTATTATTAATTTGTACTATAATTATTATCATTGCACAACTATGATTACTTTATATTTATTGTGGCGGTTAATAGACTAACCAATCATTTTAGTTAGTGCTATTATCATTGTTATCTTACTTTATTTAATGTTATTACTTATATGTACTAACTATTCTTGTTAGTATTGCCATTACATTGTTAATATTATTTCTACTACTTTTAGTATATTATTGCTGCATCACTACTATTATTATTTGATATTATTACTTTTATTATTATCACTCACTATCACCTTATGGATGTCATTATTAATTTATCAGTTTTATCTACAACATTATCACTATTGTACATTTTCTATATATACTACCATTTTTATCATTTTTTGTCTATAACAACTACCATTCATTGTCACTATCATTATTATTTTTACTATTGTTAATTGTCATTATTATTATTGTTGCAACTCTTATTATTGAGACACCATAACTATCTTTATAATTAATTATTACTATCATTATTATTACTATTATCATAATTACCACTTTATTATTATTTTTTTATAACCCTAATTACCTATTATTGTCATTAGCACCACTGTTATGAATACTTTTACTACCACCAATTACTATCTTCATTAGTACACTTTCATTTATTATTATTATATCATTATCACTACTACAATCATTCACCTCTAACATCATTATACTTTTACAACTTTTTCTATCACTCTGACGGTCTTTGCTATAATCACTATTGTTATCATTTTACAATTATTATTAGCTTTTATCATCGCTATCATTACAACACTACGATCATTTATCACCATTATTATTGTCTTCATTATTATTATTTCATTGACTATTACCACCATCATTATCACTACTACAATCATTCACTTCTAACATTATTGCACTTTTATAACTTTTGTTATAGTTCTTATTGTTGTTTTTGTTATAACTATTATTGTTATCGATATATAACTACTGTTAGTTTTTATCATCGCCACTATTATGACCATCTATTACCACTTCTTCGTTGATACACTTTTATTAACTATTATTACCATCATTATCACTGCTAAAATCATTCGTCTCTAGCATCATTACAACATTTATTATCACTCTTATTATAGTCTTTGTTATAACTACTATTTTCATTATTATACAACAACTATTATTAGCTTTTATTATAGTCATCACTACAACCACTATGACCATCTATCACTTATTTTGATTTTTTATTATCATCATTCTAATAAATAAATTTAAATATATAACAAGTAATTTGTATGTTTTAAATTTCAAAATAAAAAACTGAAAGAAAAAATAAAATACTTGTTTTATATTTTAAAATTTTCAAAACATAAAACTAAACCACTGGAGATCTAAATTTTTGTTCTCTTTTTATTTATTCTTCAAGTGAATGTTTATTTTTAATAATTTTCTTTCTCCTGGAACAAACAGATCATATGATAAGTGACACAATCCATGACTTAGTACGCTGACATCTAATTATTATGAAATAATAAAGGAATGAAAAGTGTGTTTGGATATTAAACGACGCAGGCTTCTTGCAGAATTTCAAGTTTGAGGACAGTCACTCTCACTGTGGGATGGACTAGAAGGAGTTTTCCTTCTTTGAAAACCCGCATCTCTTGTGCAGTAAGTTTTATTTCCATCTACATATAAATTTTGCACTGAAAAATCATAACTTATTTTGGCACATAAATCTCTTGTGACGATCCAGGCACAGCCTGAGACAGTGCAGAAAGTTTGTGAGATTGTGAGAAAAAGACTTGCTCTGCCACTTCAATCTGAGCTTACCCCACAAATCAAGTTCTCAGCTCTTGGTGCTGATTCCCTTGACACTGTAAGATTCATATTTTCACCGAGCATTTTTAATTGAGTAAAATATGAATTTTATAATAGTTTTTATTGATGAAGTATCATATATGCTGCTACTTTCGGTTTAAAAAGAAACAAAATAGATTTTTTTTTTATTCTTATTATAAAAAATAAATAATAGATTTAAGATGTATTAATTATTAAATTTTTTATACTTTTATTTTATTAGTATTATTAAATATAAAAATTACTAATTATACTATTTAATATCATATGTATTCTTGAAATAAAATTTATATTTATAAAAAACATAACTGACTTAAATATTTTATTTAATTTTGATGATTTAGTCTTTTATTTCTTATAAAAAGGACCATAGAATATTTATTAAAGTGATAACAAGGATTATTTTTTAAATTTATGAAAATTAATAAAAAAAAAAGTTATTATAGGATCATTAAAGTGAATATTTACAATTTTTAAACTTCAATAACGAAGGTCTGTTTGGTTGATTAGCAAGTAATTAACAAGGCATAAAATTGAGCATTATTGGAGAAATCTCTGATATTTTTAGTCCGAAAGTTAAATGTTCATTGTTAAAGGTAGCATAGTTATAGTTGATAAACTCTGATTGCTTTGGTATGAACATATGATTATGACAGGTGGAAATAGTGACAAGTTTGGAGGAAGAGTTTGGCATTAGCGTTGACGATGAGAACTCTGAATTGATAACAACTGTTCAAGAAGCAGCTGAGTTAATAGACAAACTGGTTCAAAAGAAAGATGGAGACTAGGAGCTGAACTCAGTGTAAACTCGGAAATCAAATTTCCATTTCTCAACTGAGAATAGAAAGTCTTGGGGTTTAGTTTAAATAAATTTCTCAACACCAAAAAAATTTAAAATAAAATAAAATAATATTTTTTTTATAAGTTAAAATCAATTTATGCATATTATTTTATGGAACAAGTGTGATGTATTTTGTATTTTTATTTTCTTCTTTTATAAATATTTGATAATAAGTTTATGTAAATTGCGCTTTAAGTATAGCTTAATGAGTTTAATCATTCAACCAAGTGTTTTAGATTTGTTTTTATACTTATAATTGTTCTTTAGGAAGCAGACTAACTATTTCATCGTGACATTAACTTGCTATTCTTATTTGTGCGTGTAGCATGTTCTTTAGCTTTTTGTTTTTTACTAAAGAATATATAAAAGGGATGTATTTGGTGAAAATATTTTTATATGAAAATGATATAAATTTGTATCGTATAATTATAAATAAATGATTAAAATTAATTTTTTTAAAAGTTTCATAATCATTTGCTTTTGGAGAGGAAACCGGCCAAGAGTGAAGTTTTCATCGCTTTGAAGAAATCATTTGTACTGTGGGTGTTCATCCACTCCTCTTGTGGTTTAATCATGGTGCTTGGCGTCTACTGTATGGTGGGGTATTTAAAAGTTAAAGTAATGCATTGATTAATGTGTATAGCTAATTGATCAAATAATACGAGCTTGATTCAAATGGTGGTATCGTAGCAGACCATGAATTTGAACTATCTAAAGTTGGAGAGATTGTTGGCAAATTGAAGCTTGATCGTGTTTTTCAGTTTTTCTTGTATGATCATGTCATGGTACTTGGTTTTTCTTGAGAAGATGTTAACGTAAACTTTGAGGACTCATTTTAAATATCCTAAAATTATAGTTTTTTTTTTTTACTAAAAATACGAATACCTTTTATGTTTTCATATTTTAATATGATAAAACCTTTAATTTTGTCATAAAAATTTATTATTTTTTTTATGATTAAGAGGGCATGTTGTACATACATAATTTTGACATGTAATATTATGCATTAGACTCATGCCTTGTTTAAAATTCCTAGTCTATGCATTTCATGATTTTTTTTATGTCAATTCTAAATTATAGTTTCTTTTTTATTTGATTCGTTCGGGCTCATTAGTTGATAAACATATGAGGAAAAAATTAAATTATTTAAATTAATATAAATAAATTAATAAATCTTGCAATTTAGTTCTTCAAGTTTCGATTATACACTATAACTTCGTTGAATGTATTAAAACGAAACATTGGCTGTGATTTTCAGCAAAAAGACACGAATGTGATCTTGTATCTGAAATTTGTCTTCTACTAACGTTGAAACACAATAATGAGAGAGATTGTTTGTCCTCGGCAAATTCATATAAAGGGAAAAGTAGGGAGTAATAATAAAGTGAAAAAAAAAACAAAGCACCGAAAAAGTGTTTTTACTCGTTTTATTCTTTACAAAATAAAATGATTATATAAGTGGCGTGTGACTTTTCATCATCCACTATAAACTGCTCTATTTTTTTATATATATAATTTTATTATTTGAATATATACAAATTAATATCGTATATAATTGTCTCTTTTATATACATGTATTTTAAAAATATGTTCTAATGTTAGAAGAGATAACTTTATTATTATTCACGAAACATTTTCTTTTTAAATAATTAAGAGCTTCAAAATTATCATAATTAATATTATTTAATTTTTAATTAATAATAAAGTTAATTAATCTTAGGTATCTTGTTTTTTTTAGTATTGAAAAACTTCTCTATATTACAGAAGAATCACGTCTTCATACATAATTGAATGTATTAAAACATGCAAAGTTTCTTTTGATTTTTAAAAAAAAATAAATTATAAGTTTTTCATTACCATGAGACCTACTATTACTAATTTTTTTAATCATTCTCAAATATTACAATGTTGCTGTACTTTTGAAAAAGAGAATTTGAGTGTTAAGAGACAAAATATCTTAATTAAAAACTTGGTAACATTAGTAATACTAATAATAAAATGCATAACAATCTTTTAGACTTTACCATTTAAAATAAGATATAAATGAAATAAATATTAGTTAAGAACAAAATAATAAAATATGAGACAAAAGATTTTCAATTTAAATATTACCTATTAAATAATATATAACTTTCTTTTATTTTTTAAAAAATAATACTTATAATGAATAAAATTTTTTGAGACCTTATTTATTTAGGTGCCTCTACTTGTTTTAGTTTAAGACCAACCCCCTTGTTGTCATAATTTTTTATGCACAAATATTTATACTTAAATTCATAATTATTTATTTAGTAATTTATTTTCTTATCATAAGTTTTTTTTTACTGTTGTATCAACCGAATGAGTCTCATTGTGTTCCTTACTTATGTTATATTTGCTTCTAATACATTGATTAAACTTGTTTACTAAAAAAAGATTATTTAAATTTATTTTTAATTTATTTTGATATCAACATGATTTAAGCTCATGAAAGAGGAGGTTAAGTGATTAGATCAGGATCATTAAGAGGTTCTGACAGAAGTCCATCTTCTTTGAGAATTCTCAATCCTTCATGATAAATAAAAAGAAAAAATTATTTATGATTTTGTTTCTATCTTTATGATTAAAATTTTTCACTGTTTTAAGAAAGTATTTCAAATTCTTTAAAAAAGTTTTGTATTATATTTTATACTTTTTAAATTCATAATATTTAATTTCATTATATAAATTAATGTATTTTCACTTAAAATCTATGTAATAAAAATTATTATGATAGGACTTTATATTTTAATTTGTCTTTATTATTTTTAATATTTTTAAATATTTTTAGTTGTTTAATTTATCATATTCTTATCATAATTTTTCTTTTTTATTTTTATTTTAATATTTTTAATTTTGACCATATCTTTTTAAATCATTTTTAAAGTCACAAATTTTTTTATATCTTTAATACATTTATGAAAATTAAAATAACTTTTTAAATTGTTACTATTTGAAAATACGACTAGAATGAAATTAGTTTTTTTTTATAATGTTTAATATATAATTTTTTTAATTATAAAGACTAAATTTTTTAAATTATAAAAAAATTAAATATATAATTTAACCTAAAAAAATTAAAAATATATCTTATTTTATTTTCTTGATGATACCATATGTATTATTTTTCTTTTCTGTGGAAGCATAAAAGATAAATGCAATCCTAATTGGAAGGAAGGTCTTTTTTGGGTTGGCTCCTTTGAACGTGATTGATTTGAACTAAATAATTATGAAGGGAACCATTTCATTAGCAAATCCGATGTAATATTAGATCTTTCTATATATTTAAAAAAAAAAATTTATAAAAAAGTATTAAATTAAAAATACACGTATTTATTATTTAATAATTTTAAAAAATGTTTAAGTTTAAAAGATAGAAAAAAATTAAATTATTCATGACATTATATTAGTTCTCAATTTCCAACAGTACTTCTACGATACCGTTCTCACGCCGCAAAAACAAATACACACATACATCTCTCTCTATATATATATATAATGGAAAACTAGAACAGACACGTATTCTCATCGGTCTTCTCTGCCGTGGACCCATTACAAAGAAGCGGCGTCGTTTTGTCCTACACAACCGCGCACGATTCGAACGGAACATACTTTCCGACTCTTTCTCCCCAATTTTGCTTCGATTTTCTCGAGAAAATCTAGCTCAGTCTCCGCGAGTCTCTGATATATATAATAGCTCACGCTCATGGATCGGAGAAGAACCGCGAGTCCGGTGTACACGCGGCAGTGGAGCGGCGGTTCCAGCAGCACCGGCTCCTCGTCGCCGGCGATGTCACCGGCTCATCCTCAGTCTCGGCTCGGTCCTTCTTCCACCGGCCTCTCCACCGTCAAGCGTACCCAAAACGTAGCCGCCAAAGCTGCCGCGCAGCGTCTGGCTCGCGTCATGGCGTCTCAGACCACCGCCGATGACGACGGCGATGAAGACGACGATCTCGGTTTCCGGTACAGCGCTCCGCCTCCAACGGCTCTTTCTTCTTTCTCCACCAACGCCAACAGTAACAAGAGTGCTAGCGCTAATGCCACCGCCACCATCCCTCCGATTTCGGTCGCGAGGCCAAACAGATCTCCTTCTCCTTCGGTAATTCTCACCGTAATTGTTCTCTATGTCTTCGCTCCGATGCGTTTACGTGATTATTTGCATGGATTCATTTGTTGAATTGGGAATGAAACCGAAGACGATGCGTATTCAATATGGTTTTGAGCTTAGATATATTTTACTGGTTTGTGATTGTTAATTTCACGCCGTAAGTAATGTTTGAGCGAGATCTAAGTCTTGGATTGTGATGTTGTTGCATGATTGTGGAGTTATTCGATTGGTAAGTTGTTGTTGAGCTAATAGGATTTTGATGTTTTTATTAGTTAGGTCGGAACTTTGTAGAGCATACACATTCGGTGCGCTCAACATCAGCTGGAAGATCAGCTGTTTCAGTTCGCTCAACGCCAGTGGTACCACCGAGCAAAACCACACTGCGAACGCCTATGGCTGTACCTCCTATTGACCCTCCTACCAATCGGAATAGAGAGAAAAGGTAGTAAGCATTTCCTTTTCCCCTTTAATTCTTTCGGTTTTACTGCTATATTACTACTAGTAAGTTTTTATGTCTTGGAGCATTTCCAGGTTGAGCCGGTAATACTGTAAAACTGAAATGCTGACTGAATCATCATTAATTTTAAAGAAGGAAAAATGCTAAGGAATGCTCTTACAGCACTTGTTAAGGGTTTAAAAGCAGAAAAGTATTAAATGAAAAGTAAATCATTTTTCAAATATCTAATGTATTAATTATGTGTTTTGGAATAGCTATATTGCCAGAATTATCATTTTTTTCCCCTTCAAAAGCTACCTCATGAATCTAATATGCATATATTATATTTTTCATTAAATTATTATTTTATATTCTTGTAAAGTACCCTTTAAGGTACTCTTTAGCTGGGCCGTAAAAGAAAAAAAAAACATCTAAAACAGTCGAAAGTCATGAGATTGCTTCAGTGACTTATTTTCTAAGCACCCTCTCCATCAGTGATTGTTATGATAACATATGTATAGGTCTAATTTGGGTAAATTTCTAAAGACGTACTTATAAGAGAAGAAAATAAAGAGATAAAATGAACAAAAATTCTTTCATAAATTAACTTATGCAATTACAGTTTTGAAAAAGTTAAACAAGAGAACTTCTAAAGAAGTAGAGGAGCTTAAGTTGATTAACTTATAGGAGTTTAATTTATTTTACTTTTTTATTTTTTTCTTTTACAAGTTCTTATTGATGTATTTAGGATGAATATGAAAAAGTTTGGTTTTGGATTAAGATATCAAAGATCAATTGGGAGAAATATTTCTATAAACTTTTTAATAAGGGACAAGGAGCAAGTGAAAATTTAACAAGATTAAAAGTGCAAGCGAATGGGTTAAATTTGACATATTGTTATAGGATTTGAGTGGACGAAGTAAAAAAAGCTCTTAAGAGAATGGAAAATGGCAAAACGGTTGGCCTTGATAATATCTCTATAGAAGTTGGAAAAAGTTTGAGAAAATAAGGATTGAAGTGGCTTACTAAATTCTTTAATGAGATTTTGAGATCTAAAAATATGTCAGATGAATGAAGGAAGAACACTTAAGTTCCTATATACAATAACAAGTGTGGTATTTAAAATTGTGTGAATTATAGAGGGATTAAACTCATTAGTTACACTATAAAGTTATGGAAAAAAGTGATTGAACATAGAATACGGGAGAAAATTAAGATCGCAGAAAATCAATTTGATTTAATGTTAGGAAAGTTTCCAACAGAAGTTATATATCTTTTATGAAAGATGATGAAAAATATCACTATAAGGAAAAGGACTTATACATAATTTTTATTGACTTGGCAAAAAGCATATGATTGGGTACCAAGAGAAGTGTTATGAAAGGTTTTAAAAAAGAAATGAGCTTGTGTAGCCTATATTCAAACTATACAAGACATGTATGAATAAGTGACCACATGTGTGAAAACTTTTAGAGGTGTATCCAAGGACTTTCCAATTAGAATATGTTTACATCAAGGTCCTGCTTTAAGCTATTACCTGTTTAATCTTGTTTTAGATATGCTTACAAAAAATACACGAGATTATCGTTTGGTTCATGCTATTTGTAGATGATGTAGTGTTGATCAAGAATTTGAAAGAAGAGGTTAATGTTAAACTTAAGTTATGGAGGAAAACTTTAGAATTTAAGGATTTTCACTTAAGTAAAAGTAAGACAAAGTACATGCATTATAGGTTTAACTAAAAATAAGATGAAGATCATGCGTTGAAAGTTAAACTTGGAGATAATATTATACCAAAAGTTCTAAATACATGGAATCGATTATAAAAAATGATGGAGAACCTAAAGAGTTATTTGACCATAGAGTACCAATCAATCTAAAAAAAAAATTTATCGTACTGCAATACAACTATCTATCTTATATGGTAGCGAATGCTAGATCTTAAAGGAACAACATGAAAAAAAATGATAGTAGCAGAAATAAGAATCTAAGGTGGATGAGTGGACACACAAGAAATGATAGGATACAAAGAAATGATAGGATACAAAATAATAGTATATGATAGAATATTGGAATAACATCTATAGTGGAAAAGATGATTGAAAATCGTTTAAGGTGGTTTGGTCATGTTTAGAGAAGACCTTTGGAAGTGCTAGTAAGAATAGTGGATTGCATGACTCATAGTCTAGTAAAGAGGAGTCGAGAGGGAGGTTCAAAAAACCTTAGATGAAGTTACTAAAAGGAACTTTTTGATTAACTAGATTTCTGAAAATTTGGTTTTTGACCTTACTTAGTAAGATAAGACTTGGTTGTTGTTGTTGTTGTTCTATAAGTACTTATTGATAAGTTATTTGAAGATTCAAAATACTCTATTCTCTAAATAAACATAAAAATAATGAAGTGGATTGACGTGTGTGTGTTATCAAGCTGGTCAGTCAAATGCTAATTTCATAAGGAGGTTGAATACATGGGCTTTAGTTGTGATTTGGCCAATTTTTACCTTTCCCCACATGCTTGTAATTGATTCTTTTTTACTATGAATTGGGTTCAATCCTTATTCTATTTATTGAGGTCATACATCTATTTATATCTTTGTGTCTGTATGCCGACTGAAGTGATAGGCTAACAAACTCTAGTTTGTTGGCCATTAGGCACTATTGATGACCCACTCTTCTTTGAATTGTACTCTTTGGTGAATAATTTCAGGTTTGCATCAGATATTGCTATCAGACCACTTAACTCAAAAGACACAGGAGATCAGCGCGAAGCTTCTGCACTCCGTGATGAAGTATAGTATTTACATGCATCAATTTCTATCTCCAAAAACTAAATCTGATGATCCTTATATTGGCTATGCTAATTCTTGAGCTTTATTTAAGTAGATTTTGTATTGCAATCCATAAAGAATGAGTTTTGAAGTTGATTCCTACTGATATTGCAGCTTGATATGCTACAAGAAGAAAATGAGACTTTACTTGAAAAGGTATGCTCATTCACACCCAAACAAAGTAGGTTTTTTTTGCTTGTGTTATGTGATGCTGAGTATATATGCTTGGTTATATTCCAGCTAAGACAAGCAGAAGAAAAACGCCAAGAAGTGGAGGCCAGAGCTAGGGAACTTGAGAAACAGGTTAGTTTTTGCTAGATATTAGCTAAACTTTGAAACCTAACCACAGTAGTTTTAATATTGTAGTTTCAATACCATATTTTGCATAATTAGTATACTTTTGTTTACATTAGTCTGTCACTATATGCTCTAAGATGTATTTAACAATAAAAGTTCCTTCATTGTATAGCTGTTAATCTCTGTGCTGAGTTTGTTGATATCTGTATCCTTATTCATTTTGATTTGGCAGGTTGCTTCCCTTGGAGAAGGTGTATCACTGGAAGCTAAACTGCTGAGCAGGTAAACTAGCTGCAAATTCTCTTACATGCTGGCTGGAACTGGAAATATTTATTTTGTATAATTATAAGGTTGTGGTTTTTGTGTGATATATTTGCAGGAAGGAAGCTGCTTTGCGTCAAAGAGAGGTATACTGAAAGAATAGATGTTAGATGCGGCCAAATATGAAATGAGTGATGTTTGGAAGTTTGAAGGGCTGTGACCACCCTTACTTGATAACCCACTATTCTATCGCTTCTAAGTGTTAATCGTCAAATTTTTTCTGACTTTCCATACTTTTGAATAGAATGAATGAATGCATGCATATATGTGCAAAGGGCATGAATTAGAGACAATGATGTAGCTGGTTCTACAATCTTGATATTTTTTTGTAAAGCTCTGTTTCAGTTACAGTTTTCTTCTTGAATTGTAGAATTTGAGCAACAAGCTCATCAATTTTGACTCTTTCAAAGAACGTCATTGAAATACTCAATATTTTTGTAACAGGCTGCTCTCAAGGCTGCCCAACAAACCCAGAGTGGGAGAGATGAGGATATTGCAGCCCTTCGTGTGGAAATTCAGGTAGTTTTGAATAAAGCATGCGTTTTTTTTAATCTTTTAGTTGTACCATGTATCTACTCTGATCAGTTATTCCCTGGTATAAGTTCTAGCTATCTTCTTTGTATTTGTCAGAACCTAAAAGATGATGCTGTGGCTGCTTTGGAACAACAGCAAGAAGCTGAAGCTGAAGCAAAGGCTCTTCGCACGATGACACAGAGAATGATTTTGACCCAAGAAGAAATGGTTTGTGTTTACCATTATAATTAGAATTAACGAATCTTCATTTTCCCATCTGTCTCAATTTATCTTCATATCTGTCTTTTAGGAAGAAGTTGTTCTGAAGAGATGTTGGCTAGCCCGCTACTGGGGTCTCGCTGTAAAACATGGTAATGGAATTTCACTGCTCTCAATTTTCTGAGGAAAGAGAATTTCCAATGTTTAATTTTTTTAACCTTTGATTTGACATGACTTAAAAAAAATGAAAAGAATATTTTGCAAAAGTCAGTTCATCTTTTTATCTATTAACTATCACAAGTCCTTATATTTCCTGTGGCTTGTTACTTTTATGCTGTTTAGGCATATGTGCAGATATAACACAATCCAAGCATGAACATTGGTCTTCACTAGCTCCTCTTCCTTTTGAACTTGTTGTCTCTGCTGGACAAAAGGCTAAGGAGGAATCTTGGAACAAAAGTATGAGTTGGTGCTCAAAAAAATTGGTTGAATTATTTCTCTCTTAAATTATTTACAACGACGTCTAACTAAAGAGCATGGACCAGGTGCTGATGGTCCAGATAGAAGCAAACTTGTTCGTGATCTGAATGATCTAGCTGGGGAAGGAAATATCGAGAGTATGCTTTCAGTTGAGATGGGTTTGAGGGAACTTGCTTCCTTAAAGGTTCTCCAAGAAATTGCTTTATTTGTTCAGTTCCTTATCTCATTTTTCTCTTGGGCATTTTTCGATACAAAGAATCATATTTTAAAGCCTATTGCTTCTTTTAAAGCACTAATTTCAGAAACCCAAACTTATATACACGAGTTTGGTTTAGATTTGACTTCCTATCTTTTGGACTGTTCTAGATTATGTACATCCTTTTCCTTTCTTATTGAGTTCTGAAAGATATTTGATACACCCATATCACATTTATGCTATAAAAAAGAAAGATGCGCTGAATAAGAGTGATGTGCTGCATGTGTACGAGAGGAGAATAGGAGATGCAAGAGAGGAAGAAAATGAGAATGTGCTTACTGCAGAGGAAATGCCAGAGGACAAGTATTTTAGAAGAGAGTGGAATGGCTGTAACAGCATGAAAACAGCTGTCATATGTTGAGGGTTGAAGGGTTTTTCTTTCTTTTTTTTTATTGGGTGGTGGCAGTGGCAGTTTTCTTCTCCTTGTTTTCTGCAACTTTTACATTTTTGTGTGTTGCTGTTTGGGTTATGTAGTATGTACAGGGAGTCACATTTGATTGTAAGGAGCTGGTCTCCTCCACACTTACTCTTCTGTTGTAAATTTCAGTTCCTATCATAATTTTTATTTTGTAGGTTGAAGATGCTGTTGTTCTCGCATTAGCCCAACACAGACGGCCAAATTTGGTTCGGCAGTCTGTTTTAGGTATTTAATTCAACCTATTGTATCTTTTTCAAATCTCAGTTTCTACTTGTCTTGATTAATTTGGTTACTCAAATCTTTCATTTGATCTGTGACTACTGTCTACCTGCTGTTGGTGCAGTACTACCCTATTAATTGAGTTGTTGCCTTTCCTCTTTTGATTCAGTTTTGGTTAATTAAGGCTGTGTCTTAGTTTTATGATTTTTCATACATGGATATCCTATTGGTGATGAGAATTCTGTTTAAGTAGTTTTGATTCATGTGCACATTTAAAATGTTTTTTTTCCTAGACTATTGTTTTGGTACTATTCCAAAACAAACTGTTTAGTAGAAGATTATTTGAATTATGATGTTCACATTTTTATTCATTTATTTTGCAGACTCCAAATCACATGGTGATGCCAAATATTTGGAAGCATTTGGTAAGAATTAAGTTGTCAGCTTTTGTTTGTGTTTAATTTGATGTTTGGCTGTTTTAATTTTTGCTAAGCAATAGGTTTTTAGCTTTTATTTTGGCATTTAATTTGATATTCTTTGGCAAAGTCAAGTTTTCAGTGATATTATTCCTATAGAATTTTGTAAGAGTCTAGGATGTACATTTGCATATAGGATTTCTATGCTTCTCTTTCACAAGTAAAATGTTGCTTTTATATTTTTGAATCATTTCTCTATATTATTTTCTTTTGGAGGGGAAATTCGGATTGGCTTTTTGGACATTATATGTAAGTTTTTTGCATGCATGGTTTGATCAGATATGCATGTGATTTGTATAGGAGGAGGATGGCACATCTGTATCATAAATTGCGTGGTATGAACTATGTAGTCATTTGTTACCCTTGTCACTATCTGCAAGAAATACAAATTCTCTTGATTATGGATTGTCTTCCATCTATTGGAGAGCCTTTATGTATTAAGACAATGGCTTCATGTGTATTTTGCTAATATATTACACTGACATGGCTGCATTTAGCTGTTTTTCCTTTCTATATGGAGAAGTGTCTGGCAGATGACATGATAATTCTTTGTTGATTTTCTGTTTCTTTATTTCCTGCAGAATTAAGTGAAGAGGAAGCAGAAGATGTTCTTTTCAAAGAGGTTAGTTACTTTTTCTCTGATGATTCTGAAATTTGGCACTATTCATGGCCCTAGTTCTATGAAATTGTATCCGCTAGTTGTTTTATTGCATTTTCACTCATTAACCATCATATGTGAGATGAAATGTTGAAATGGATGCTCCTGAGTAGCCGTGGCCTTTTGATGACCAGTTTATGTCAATGTTGAATTTATAACTATTCTGAAAATACTATGAACATATAATTGAATTTGATTTACTTATAAACTCAGGCATGGTTAACTTATTTCTGGAGAAGAGCTTTATTTCATGGTGTGGAAGAAGATATTGCAGAAGAGCGGCTTCAGTTTTGGATTGCCCGTAGTGGGCAGTCACCAACTTCCCATGATGCTGTCGATGGTAAGCTCGTCATTCTTATCATCTTTTGTGGTTTTTAAGATAGTACGTGCATTTTTTATATAGATTATTTTTGGAAAAATAGTTAATTAGTTTTTAAAAGCTCTGTCATGAATCTGATCAAAATTAGCGATTATTCTTTCAAAATAAGTTGACAATCTTGAAACTACTAGTGGGTGAATATATACATGTTTTTGAATTGTGTGCTGATTGGCAAAATGTTGCGAATGGAAATTACCTTTATGGACCAGTTTAGAAAGCTATTCTGGAATCTAGAAAATAGGTCAACTGAAAATCTTTTATCTTGGGTATTCAAAATCGTATATAAGGGAAATTGGAATAATATGATACAAACCAATCTGATTCTCAGTCTCAGCTATATGAATCAGAACTGATCCTAAATCGTCTCAGAATTGGTGGAATCAAATCTATTCAATCCATTCTGGTCAAATTGTGCAATTTAGCTATCATGATAAAGCTTCTTTTTTTTTTTTCCTTTTTTTTCAGTCTGAGCATGACAGATAGACTTAAACAAAGCTTAATAATTCAGTTTGGCGGTTTATTTTTTAAAACTAAAATTATTAATCATAGTTTTTTTTTTTCTGTCATAATATTTGTGTATACATCTATTAGATTGTGAAGACTAGGTTGCTTGACAAATCTGATACCCAAGAAGTTCATGCATACACTTATAAAAAAATTTTGCTATTATTTTTGCAAAATTCCTGCTGTTTCATCCAAGTTCTCATGATTAATTGGGTGCTTCGCTACTTGCAAACCCAGACAACCTCACTTTTAGGTTTCATCTAAACTTGAAGTACTTGGATATTCAAATGATGATCTCTGGGTTCTCTGAACTGTAGAAGTGATAGCAACAGCTTATATAAATATCAATATCCTTAAATTTGTCTAGTTACCATGCAAAGTATTTAGCATCATATGGTTTACAAATGAGGTGGCTTGAATTTTTTTTTTAAAACAAATACAATGACGTGGCTGTAATGTTAGACAAGCACATACAGGAAAATTTAAAGAAAGAAGAGCGTTATTTTTTAAAAATATTTAATATTTATTACTTTGATGTACTCGAGTGTTTTGTGTATGAACTCCATTCTGTTTCCTATGTAGTGGAGCGAGGTTTGTTGGAGTTGAGGAAGCTGAGTATAGAACAGCAACTTTGGGAAGCATCTCGGAAGGGAATTGATCAGGCTCAGGTGTCAGATGCGAATCATAAACCTGCCACTGACTCTGATGCCTCATCGTGAATGTTTCTTGCCCTTTAGTTGTTGATTGATTCTTTGTCCTCTATGTATATTTTATTTTGTTTTCTATACAAGTTTTTCATTCTGTAAACCATCTCAAAACATTATATTTGGAAATATAAAGAATCTTTACGTTGCACGAGAAACCTAGTTGAGTGGGTTGTAATAATTAATTATCTACATGGGACCGAGTTTTCCATATTCTTTTAATTAAATTTTGTAATTTAAGAATCCTAGTTTTTCTGTTTGTTATATCAAATGAATTTTACTCAGAAAAATAACTGCCATTATTATCTTTTTAACTTCTGGTTTGATATCTTTTTTCTGGTGTTGGTCATCTTGATATCAATTGAAAGCTTGGCTTCCTTTTGAAAATTGGAATATAAAAGTGCAATAAGTCAATGTTATGCATTACGCAGCATGAAGCGCAAGATTCTCCCTATTCCTGCACTGGAATTCAATTAGGCGTAATGTCACGGTGGTGTCTCGGATCGAACACTATAGCGACTAGCCAGAGTTGGAGAACTGCACATCTTCGGAGGCGAATCAGGCTGGTACTGAATTGCACAGTATATCACATCACTCTCATCAATCCCCCACAAAAAAATGGAAAATATTCCTCTCATTCAATAGTAATAACAAATGATAATAGTTACATTAATAGTTTATAACATTACCCATACAAGCCCATGCCTTAAGCGGAAAAATTGAGAGGCGCGTGCTCTGGTTTGCAGAAAACCCGGTTACTCTATAGTCATCCACATTAAGGATTCTGAGAATATATAGCTCAGGCCCGCAGATGGTGCACTACTCACGCGGGGTCCTGTTCCACACTGTGGACGCCAAGAGTGGCTGGTGCATAGCAACCCGGATCATAAAAAGAAGGAAAGCCTGCGTAGTTTAATAGTAAAAGTGGATGAGCTTTTCCTCCACTTGTATTTTTTATGACTATCGTGAAAAGGACCCAAATTTTGAGGGGGAACACCAAATAAACAAACCGAAGATTACTCACCAAAAAGGGATGCCTTTGCTCTAGTCGCAAGGATTCAAAAGCACAATATAGGCTTCACTCGCACTCCACACATTTTCCAACTCTGATGCTCAAAAGTCATTCTAACCACTTCTACATAATTATAATATTCAGTCATATCCTTGTGACATAAATTTTCCCAAGCACCTACTTTTATTTTTCTCGTTTTGTTTTGGATTGGAGTTGGTTGGGAGTACACTTTGGGTTTGAGAGGCAATAGAATATTTTGACAATCAAGAGATGAATGCTAAAAAATCAGTGACACTAATGCTGGTAATGATGAAATATCTGAAATCTTTTGTAAAAGCTGTGAAGGTAGGGTCCATTTTCTTCTCCTTTACCATTTCTTTGAGCTGCAAATGTAACAGAAGCACAGAATCCACCACATAAATCTTGATCAAATTTGTCATTTTATAGTTTGTTCTTTTTTTCACACTCATTATCTTCCATTTTTTCCTCCTTGTCTTATGGAAATTAAATAAGAACCTATCTACCTATGCAATTAGAGTGGTCCAGTAACAAGTCTTTGCAGTAATTATTTCATGACTAGATCATCTTTCTCCCTTCAATCCTGGTTAGATGGGGTCGATTCAAATCACTCGAAATGTTTGCCAAACCATAAGCATCCAAAAATTACGCTGTTACATGGCTTGCAGAGTTGAAATGGGGAATAGAAGAAGGCCCCACTAGAAGCTAGCGTGGAAAGGTTTGAGGCCACGATGGGGAACATGTGGCTCCGTGGAGGCTAGCATGTGAGTTTGTAAGCAAAAAGAAATATATATATAGTTGATGGATGGAGGTGGGGGTGTATTTGCTTTTGCATCACCGGGACAAAAAGTTTTGAGAAAAAAGAATCAAAGAGCTATCTTATAATTATAAGAAAAGCCTTTTCACAACTGGTCAAAGGGAGCAAGTTCATTCCCACATAAGTACATAAAGATAAGTCTTTAACCACCACCAGGAAAAGATTAGACTTTATGGGACTAAGCTGATTTGATTTCCACTTAAACATAAAAAAAAAATTGGGTTTTTGGTATATTCAACAACACACTTATTATGGGCATGAGAAAAAACCTCATCCCAGATCTTACTCATTACTTAAATAGATAAAGATTCTTTGCATAAAAGGCAAGCAGGAAATAAAATACAAAAAAGGGAGAGCATACCCTTCATCACTCAACTTCTTTAGTGATTATTGTTTATGGTTAATGATGCATTTGAGTACTCTTCATATTTTCTAGCTTCTCTGACAAGCCACAAATATATTTAAAATGCAATGGTCATTTGCACAAGTAAGATGGCCTATTTTCCTTGGAATCTCCATTCTGTAACCACTTATTTTGTCGACGTGCAAATCTTGCCCGTACTTGCTGATCAAGAAAAACTAATCAATCAAACTTTTTTTTTTTTATAAAACAAAAAGGAACTGCGTGTGCATCTCTCTTTTACATCCTGCATATGTACAGCATCTCCCCAAGATGCTGTCAAGTTCTAATATTTCTCTGATGCAAGGAGACTTATATTTTGTGTATATTTTTAAAGAAATTCTTAAAAATACACATTTTTCTAAGGTGTGAAAAGCAACCCCGTAAAGCCATTTTCCATGGAAGAGACACATTCCTGTTGATACAGTGAAAGGATACAAGCTTAGTTTTTGTTTTTTCCCAAGTGCAACAAAGATGCAGATACATGGTCTTTGTTGTTAATGCATCAACAGAGAAAAAAACAAAACGTAAAGAAGATCTAAACACTAAATTGTTTTAGAAGGAATATTATTCAAGGCAGAGCCCATATTCTAATAAGGGAAATTTTTTTAGAACTATCATATGGTCTATTATAAATGAGATGTATTTTTAAAATGTATAAATAAAAATAACAATATATAATATCACATATGATATTAAATTTTAGTAATATAAATAATGTAACTCATTTCAATTAATTTCCTTTTCATAGCAGCAAACTAGTGCTGACTCAGCTTCAAGCATTCAAACTCTCATAATTTTCTTTTTGCCATTGGATATAGACAGACCCGGCACACCGTGGTCATTACCTCTGTCACATCTCTTTCAACACCATTTTCAGGCTTGCCATTAAAAAGCTAAAATTGTAATGATAATTAGAATGGAATAGATGAACTCCAACAACCATAGTGGTCCACCCTCAAACCAATGTTGTTAAACATATCACTCTGACGTTTTTTTTTACACCTTTTATTATTAGATAAAAAATTCCTTAATATCATAAATAAAATCATTAAATAAAATATAAATTTATATTATTTTATAAATGTTAATTAATTTTAATTAATAATAAATAATATATTTAAAAGATTATGTTAAGAAATTATGTTTTCATGTCTCTTATTGCTATTCATGTTCTCACCACACTAGGTAACACTTTAAATATAGCATCCATCACTCTCTCTTTGTTATAGTACACACACACTCTCTCTCTCTCTCTCCCCATTTGTGAAACCATGAAGTGGCCAACATGGAAGTCCAAGTCCAACACCATGGCAATGGCTGTGTTGTTGCTTCAGCTGAGTTTTTCCTTGAAAGTGTTGTGCCACTCTTCTCCTGCAGATAGAATTGCTGTGCTTCCTGGCCAACCCCACGTGGGCTTTCAACAATTCTCAGGATATGTCACAGTGGATGAAAAAAAACATAAATCTCTGTTTTACTATTTTGTTGAATCAGAAACTGATTCAGCTTCAAAGCCTCTTGTTCTATGGCTCAATGGAGGTCTGAAATCTCTCTTATTTCCTTCTACTAATATTGATTTATGCAATGGTTCAAAACTTGAACTTGAAATTAAAAAATAAAAATCAAGACTTTGGAGTATTCACAACATGAGTTATTAAACTCGCTAACTCCTGTTTCATTCAGGACCTGGTTGTTCTTCTCTAGGAGTAGGCGCATTCTCAGAAAATGGACCCTTTAGACCAAATGGTGAATTTCTTGTTAAAAATGATTATAGTTGGAACAAAGGTACCCTTCTGGCCACATTCCATTCCATTCCATCTGCCACAATGGCCTGCATTCATTCTTCTTGTGATTGAGTGAGTGTTACTTTTGTGCTTCAGAGGCAAACATGCTGTATTTGGAGACACCAATTGGAGTGGGATTTTCTTATGCTAAAGGTAGTTCCTCCTATATGACAGTGAATGATGAGGCAACAGGTATCTCGATCTTCCATTCAAATTAGATCCTTCTGTTTTTCTTTAATCTTTTGGTACAAAAACATTTATTTCTCTTTAGAAAGATCCTTTTAATCCTATCTTCTATGGGAAAAGGCACTATCATGTGTATAATGCTTAGGCTTTTAAAAAGTTGAGACAAAACAGTGATTAATGGCAAAGTGCCATGCTAACTTTTGTGTGACACTTTACATGATTATTCTTCATCCCTTATTCTCTACGCAATACTTTTGATTTCAGTGTGATTGTACTGTCCTTGAATAATGAATACTCTCAAACAGTCATGGTATGCATATTTTGTCACCTGAAGCAGTGCTTTTGATTTCTTAAGCAAGGGACAACCTTGTATTCCTGCAACGTTGGTTCAACAAGTTCCCTCAATATAGGACCAGAGATTTGTTTCTAACAGGGGAAAGCTATGCAGGTGAACCTGTCACCTTTGCTCTACCTATCATTTCTCCAAAATTCCATGTCAAAAGAAAGTTACAGTAATTATTGGTAGTACTATTATTGGCTTCATTTAAAGACTGATTTTAAGCAAGTAAAAATACTAGGATTATATTGAAAAATAAAATATTTATCACAATAAAAATACAAAATGTAACAAAAATTGTCAATTATGATAAAATCTTACTATTCTTAATTGCTTAAAATGTTAACATTTCCTAATATTATTTGTTGCGTGTTTTTGTTTATTGAAAAAATATATATGTAACAGGACATTATGTTCCTCAACTTGCAAAGCTCATGATTGAAATGAACACAAAGAACAAGATATTCAATCTGAAAGGCATTGCCGTAAGTAATACTAACATTTATGCTTTCTTTCTTGCATATTACTGTTGGCTCATGCCATAATGGAATGAATTGCAGTTGGGTAATCCAGTTATAGAATATGCCACTGACTTCAATTCAAGAGCTGAGTTCTTCTGGTCTCATGGACTAATATCAGATTCAACGTACAATATGTTCACTACAGTGTGTAACTATTCTAGGTATGTGAGTGAGTACTATAGAGACTCAGTTTCACCTCTTTGTTCAAAGGTTATGGGGCAAGTAAGCAGAGAAACCAGTAAATTTGTGGACAAATATGATGTCACCCTTGATGTTTGCATTTCCTCAGTGCTATCACAATCCAAGATTATTTGTCCTCAAACACAAGTAAGTCTTCTCTTCTGGATTAGCCCTTCTCAATTCTCATGCTTTTCCATTACTTTATTTACTATTTTAGGTAAGATCATTGCTTCTTAAATTTGGCTTGTTCAATAAAATTATTGCCTTGTATTATGGCATGGCAGCAAGCAAATGAGAGCATAGATGTGTGTGTAGATGACAAGGTTACAAACTATTTAAACAGAAGAGATGTACAAGAGGCACTTCATGCAAAGCTTGTTGGAGTTCGCAAGTGGGACGTTTGCAGCAAGTAAGTCCTTTTCACTAATAAAAAAATCTTGTGGTTGGCTACACCAATGTTTTTTTTTTTTTTATTAAAGGTAAATGCTACCTAGTACCTATAATACTGGTTAAAAACTTACAAGTAGAAAGTTTTTATTAAAATGTATTATTAATACATTTTCACCATAATTTTCCAATGCATCCTTAACATGATTTACAATAAAAGTTTTATTAATTCATTAACCAATGTTCTTCGGATACTCGTTAGCAAGATTTAATTGGTTTTAAAAAATTGAAACATAAAAGTGAAGATCTGCTTAGCTTGTTCATGCTGATTTTAATTTAACCAAACCCTGTAATCATTGAGCTGCATTGTGCTGGTAACAGCATCCTGGACTATGATATGCTCAATTTGGAAGTGCCTACACTCCCTGTTGTTGGATCACTGATAAAAGCTGGAGTTCAGGTCTTAATTTACAGGTAACTCGAACTAAAACTTCTTCTTCTCCTTTTCATTTATTTGGTTACTTGAACTTGAAGTCTTGAAGGCTTATACATATGTTTTTTAGTGCTAAAATTGTCATAACCATGTGTATTGTTCTTGCTACAGTGGAGATCAAGATTCAGTAATTCCACTGACCGGAAGCCGCACCTTAGTTCAAAAGTTGGCTAGACAATTAGTACTGAACACAACAGTCCCTTACAGAGTATGGTTTGAAGGCCAGCAGGTATATACACTAATTACTGTGCTAGCTTTTTGCCCCCCTTTTTTTGTATTTTTTCTCCACAATCTAATTAGCCTATGTTTTATAGCTTATT